TTGTTCTAATCTAGAGACTTACAGTTTAGTGGTGGAGAATATTCATGTTGGGGCTGGTCTGTGCCTGGTTGAGCCCAGCTCTGTCACTTATGAGCTTATGACCTTGAACAAGTTACTCAACATCTCTGGGCCTTAGTTGTCTTATCTATAAACTGAGATTAATGAGTATACTCTTTGAATAGTTATGAAAATTAGAGAGTTGATAAATCTGAAACACTTAAAGGAATATCGAGTATACAGTAAGCACCATATAAGTGTTTATTATTGTTATTGCTATTATTATTACTACAACGAATAATGGGCAAAGCTGGACAACAATGGGATGGGCTGTTTTGAGGAGAGTATTCCATCACCAGTGTAAGCAGAGCTGAGGTGGTTGTAGGGTTCAGCTTTGGACCTTGAGTTTCAGTGCCAGTGAGACATCCAACTAGGCTTATTGAGCATTATTCATTCTTTTTTCTTTTCTTTTTTAAAGTAGGCTCCACACCCAGCATGGAGCTCAACATGGGGCTTGTACTCACGACCCTGAGATCAAGACCTGAGCTGAGATCAAGGGTTGAACGCTTAACTAACTGAGCCCGCCAGGTGCCCCATTATTCATTCTATTTATTTAATTCCACAAATGTATACTGAGCAGCTATTCTGTACCTGACACTATGGTAGGCCCTGGAGATACTGGGTTGAATCAGACAGTCCCAGCTCTCAAGGACCTGATACTCTAGGACGGATGGGAGGTAGGAATCACCTCTTGTGTAGCGAGTTAAGTGCCACAATACCAGCACATATGAGCTCATAGACAGCCGGGGGAGGGAATCAGGGCAGGCTTCCTGGAAGAGGCAGGAAGAAGCAAGTTCCCCTGGACCATATTCAGGATCTGGGGAATGCAGAGTAGGGAAGATCTGCCCTTGCTGGCCCATGATTAACAGAAGATTTGGCTTCCAGTGGTGATAGTCATTTCCCCCAGGCCCTATACTAAGTGGAATCACTTGGGCCTTCCCACTCCTTACTGCTTCTGGAAAAGAAAATTCTTGTGAGTCTCTAAGATGTTTTCTAAATCTCTTTGCACACACATTTTATTGATCAAGGTTTCAGTATGATGGTTTTGCCTCAATTCCTTTATCTTTTGGTGGAGGGAGGTGGAAATTGAAGTTTCTTCAGAAGGAGGGTCAATCATAACCAGAAGAGACTGCATTTCCTGGATCACTGAATCAAGACAGCTTGAGCCAAGAGGATTGGGCTAATTTCTATGCTGCTGCATCCCTGGCCCAGACAGTTCCCTGCCTTGGCGTGCTCCTTGCCACAGATGTTCTTCTATTGTGAATTTATGCCAACCATGTTCAAAGTGACCACATTAAGGGGTAAAGCCCTGGGGAGTCAGGAGAAAAATTAAAAAAGAAAGCCACACACATGTACTATTTACTCGATAATAAAGACAAATATGTTCACATCCTGTCATCTCAGGCATGAATAATTCCAGTAATGCTCTTAGCGAGGAGGCCCTGTCAGGAAACACTGCCAAGTTTCTCCTTCCCCTTCCTGACTTCCATTCTTGCCTGCCTGTTCTTCAGGCTCTGGTTAGTGCTTTCAAGTCTTTCTGTTCTTTGTTAATTACCCCTCTTTCAGCCAGGATCACGGTTGGTCTGGGAGAAGAGAGGTACAAAGCAGGAAGAGAGGTAGTCACAGGTTCTTCCAGAGACCGTGAGTGGGGAGAGGCAAGAACACATCCACCAGTCAATTCTCCTGGCCCCTTTTCCTTTTGTGCCCCCACCAAAATGACTCATGCTGGTGTGCTCTGGGCAAGCCCCACAGACTCTGTGACTGTGTGGGATGTACAGATCGGGACATGCACTCTTCCTTTCTCTAAAGGAGGAGTCTCATTTTAGCTTGGTTGAGGTATCAGCTAACAATTCAGACCCAATTTACATGAAACTTGCTAACAAACGTCAGGACGCCGAAGAAGAGGGAGTTACTGGTCAAAGGAAATGCAACAGGTTGTCAAGAGTTACAAAATACTTGTACAGCATCTGAACTATGTATGGTCCATATCCTTCAAATTTGGAATGCTTTGCTGGGGAGAAGGTTCTAGGGCTAATTATTCTCAAAAGGTTACCTTGGGGAAGAACGGTTACCTTATTCTCCAGAAATACTGCATAGCCTCAGAAGCCCATAGAGCTATGTAAAGTCTAGAGGGTCATTAGGGGGTTGGCTTTCGAAGTTTGCTGCCCATGAGAGTTATAGTACCCTGACCAATGACATCAGAATTTCTGGGGGTGGGGCCCAAGCATCAGTGTTAAACTCCCCAGGTGCTTCCCCAGGTGCACTCAAGTTTGAGAACCTCTGAGCTGGACCCTCACTATTCAAAGTGTGGTTGGTGGAGCTGCAGCCCCACCAGGAGCTTGCTGGGGATGCACATTCTCAGGTCCCACCAAAGACTTACTGATTCTGAATCTGCATTTTAACAAGATCACCGAGTGCATAAGTTTGAGAAGCAGTTACTTTCCTGAAGCATTGGCCAGTCTGGCAACAATGGGCCCAAATTCTGTCTTGGCAACTACCTGCAGGAGCTGGGTGGTAGCTGGAGATTCGACACTCAGTTTGCCTGCATCTCACACAGAGTTAGGTTCATTACCTTCCATCACCTGGCTGGGCCCAGTCAGAATTTGAGTTGTTTTAAAATTTATTATAAAATAAAGTTTACCATTAGTAACATGTAGTGCATTCACAATGTTGTGCAACTGTCACCACTGTCTAGTTCCAGAACATTTCATTACCCCAAAAGGAAACCTCATATTTATTAAGCAGTCACTCACTCCCCAGCCCCCTCTCCCCTCAGCCCCTGGCAACCATTAATCTGGTTTTCTGTCGCTATGACTTTGCTTATTCTGGATGTTTCATAGAAGAGGAATGCATAATGTTTTCAAGGTTCATCCATGTTGCAGCATGTATTGGTACTCTTCCTTTTTTGGCTGAATAATATTCTTTTGTATGGGCATATCTCATTTCATGTATCCATTCATCATTTGATGGATATTTGGGTAGTTTTAACCTTCCGGTTACTGTGAGTAGTGCTGCTATGAACACTTGTGTGCAAGTTTTTGCTTGAATACCTGTTTTCAATTCTCTGGGCTATGTGGAATTGCTGGGGCAGAGTTTTAGAACCTGGCACACTGAGGTTTCACACCAGTGTTCAATGGGTAAAATTTGAGCGGCACAACCTAGTGGTTCTACTCTATTGAGTGTGTGTGTGTGTGTGTGTGTGTGTGTATGTGTATATATATATATATATATATATATATATATATATATATACATTTTTTTTTAAGCTGGAGAACATTGTATAAAGCGGAATGGAACCGCTGACTCATGTGATAATTCTATGTGTAACTTTTTGAATAGCCAAACTGTTTTCCATAGCAGCATTTTATATTCCTACCAGTCATGTTTGAGGGCTCCAATTTCCCCACATTCTTGCCAACACTTGTTATTGTGTTATTTTTTTACCCCTTAATTCTAGTCATCCTAGTGGTGGTTAAGTGGTATCTCACTCTGCTTTTGACTTGTATTTCCCTAATGAGTAGTGATGAATATCTTTTCATGTGTTTGTTGGCCATTTGTATATAGTCTTTAGAAAAATGTCTATTTAAGTCCTTTGCTTATTTAAAAACTGGGTTGCCTTTTTGTTATTGAGTCATAAAATTTCTTTATGTATTCTGGATACTAGGCCCTTTTCAGATACAGGATTTGCAAATATTTTCTACCATTCTGTAAGTTATCTTTTTCACTTTCTTGATGTTCTTTGATGTACAAAAGTTTTTAATTTTGAAGTCCAATTTATCTATTTTTTTCTTTTGTTGTTTGTGCTTTTCGTGTTATATGGAGTTTGAGATTTTGTCACCTGGACAAGGTCAATGGATAGGAAGAGAAAGGGATCTGAGGGGAAAGGGAACAGGGATTTCTTGAGGTCTCCATCTCCAGTTCAACCAGAAGATCTGAGCATTTATCTGCTTTATATAATGTTCTCCAGCTTAAATATATATATAATCAATAGATTAGAACCACTAGGTTGTGCTGCTCAAATTTTAACCATGGAAAACAAGTGTGAAACCTCGGTGTGTCAGATTGTTCCGAAAACTAGTCCTAAATGGTATATGTAGTAATTAAAACATAATGTGTTTCCTGGTTTCAATTAAATTTCATTTGTAATAAGAAAGCATACATTTTTGGAAAAGCAAGCAATGTTCTTGCAAAGTGCTCCATTTACCACACTTTTGGTAATTCAGGATTTGGCCCAAATCCAAACCCACTGTCTACCTGGTGGCATCTCACCCACACTGAAGGAATATTCTATGGTAAATATAGCCAAGTTCATGCACACCAGCTTTGGTACCAGGTGCTGTGTTTGCCTAATGTCACACAGCAGGTGAGAGTTTGAACCCAGGGGTTCCCATTTCAAATCTAAGGCTCTGTACCCTAGGCCATGCTTTCAAAGTCAAGTCAGATGAATCATCCATTGATCTTTTTTTGACAGACACTACTAGTGTTACTAGCTGCTATTATTTTTGGAAGCTTTCTATATGCGAGGCATTGTGCTGAAAACCTTTACAGCTAATTTTTCCAACAACCCAGGAAGCGGTTCCGTAATTATCCTCGTTTTACTACGGAAGAAACCGAACTGAGGTTACATAACTTGTTCCAGCAACCAGTGGTAAATGTCAGAGCTAGAACTTAACCCAGAGCTGACTCCTAGGACCATATTCTGAACCACCAAGCAAGACTACTAACTTAAAGATGACCGGGTCCTGAAAATTGACTTCAGCCCCGCCCCTTCTAGATTACATTCTAGCAGGTATTCTCGGCCCCCAACGCCGGCGCAAGCTCCGCCCACCGCCCGCCCTTCCGCCCGGGTCTCCTCAAGTTGCGCAGGCGCTCTCCTTCTCAGAGGCTGTACTGTGCAGTCGACGGGGTGGCGGGCACGTTTCGGCGCGCCAATGCGCATGCGCGGGGGTAGAGCCTCCGCCCTTTGGGGAGTTTGGAGATGGCGGCAGCCGGCGACGCTTCGCGGGAGCCGGCGGCCTCGGACCCGCCGGCGGAGCTGCCTGCCTCGGTGCGGGCGAGCATCGAGCGGAAGCGGCAGCGGGCGCTGATGCTGCGCCAGGCCCGGCTGGCGGCCCGGCCCTACCCGGCGACGGCGGCTGGGGCTACCGGAGGTTTGGGCCCTGGCGGCGCCTGCCGTTTCCCTCTGGCGGGCCGGGTGCCGCGTCCTCGGTGCAGCGTCGGCTGCCGGCGCGTCTGCGCGTCTGCCCTCCCGCAGTCCCGGGAGTCCGCTCTGCGGGCTATGACCACCAGCGGTTCCGCGCTGGAGCTGGGGCTTTCCTCACTGCACCCGGGTGGCCTAGCTCTTCTCTTAGGCTTGGGGGATGCAGCCGCCCTCACCGTCGGGAGGTGCCAGCCAGTGTCGGTCGGCGCCCTAGCGTTCCCTTTCTGTTCCAGCTGCGCGTCCACCGGTCCCAGGGGCAGTCCCTGTATAAAGCTTTTAGGCTTGTCACCCATTTCGGCAATCATCCTGCACCGCGCCCGAATTCATCCACTCAACAAAGGGCGATTGAGTGCATATTCCGGATCCCGCACAGTGCTCGCTACGTGCTGGGCACAGAGCAAACAGACAGGAGCTACTGCCTTCGTGAGGCTCTCAAGAGTAGCACCTGCTGTGTTTCACGTCTTTCAAGTTCGCTAACTTGATTCTCACTGTTAACTCGTTAAATAATTAGGGCAGCGTTTGGTACTGGTGTTTTACTGCGGTGGTAATTGAGGACCAGAAAAGGAAAGGGATCTGCGCCGGTTCATACCAGCAAGTGCGCAAGCTAATCCGGGCTAGAATTGAGCTCATCTGATACTGGGTTCACGGCCTTTCCTTTTCACCAACTGCTTGTTCTGTGCCAGGCATTGTCTCACTTTTAGGAAGAAAGGCTGTTATTTTTGTCTGAATTTTATCTTTCCCCCTTTCTTAGGGCAGCCCTTGACGGTGTGTCTTTCATGTATGGACATTTCTGTCCTCTAACTTTCCACTGTAGTCTAGTAATAATCTTCCCTAGGGTACTTAAAATAGTTTGGTTGACATGCAGGTCTTCAGGGCTGCCTCTGTAACGTGAAGTACACATGTTCCTAAAGCTGTATCCCATACTGTGTGAGTAGTTGAGCACAGTTTGGAGCTGTGTCCTCTACTACCCCTTTTCATCAACCAGAAGAAAGGAAGAATGACAGGAAGCTGGGGCTGGCAGCATGTCTTGATATTCATACGGACACTGAATCCACAAATTACAGCCACTTTTTTTTTTTTTTTTTTTTTAAGATTTTATTTATTTATTTGAGAGAGAGAGAATGAGAGACAGAGAGCATGAGAGGGAGGAGGGTCAGAGGGAGAAGCAGACTCCCTGCTGAGCAGGGAGCCCGATGCGGGACTTGATCCCGGGACTCCAGGATCATGACCTGAGCCGAAGGCAGTCGCTTAACCAACTGAGCCACCCAGGCGCCCCAAATTACAGCCACTTTTAATGGTTCTGGTCTCATCCTTTCTGTTTTCTAGTTTTCTTATTCCTTTCTCAACTTGAGATGTTATAGAGTCAGGACAAAAGTTGTTCATTTGCGTTAATTCATATTCATGATTTCATAAAGGTTTGTAGATCTGTACTAAATGGCTGTGGAACAGGGGTGCAAAAAAAGCACATAGAGCGGTATTAAACTGCTGATCATGGAAAGCAAGGTAGAATCCACTGTGCTGTGACATGGGATGCACCTCGCTGTGCCTCAGGAGCTTGGTTTTGACCAGCTGGAGTAGTCAAGACCTTAACTTGAACAAGATACTGAACGATGCTCAATCATGCCAAGACAAAGCCCCCTTTCTCTCTGCTGCTGCACCTTGCTGTTTCCCCAAGCCCTTAGCACTACATTCTAGGCAAGTTCTTCTCAGTCTTTTCCATGGCCTGTGTCCTAGCTCAGACAGAAAATGAAAATTGTACAGTATGCTGAAATAAAAGTACTGAAGATAAAAATCTCGGCACCGAATATAATATTGAGGCTTCCAATCTGTGCGTGGTCTATTTCTCCATTTATATTTAGATCTTTGATTTCTCTTAGTGGTGGTTGTGTTGTAGAGGTTTTACACCTCTTTTCCTAGATGTTATTTCTTAAATCTAATTGTAGATTCTTGTGAATATTCTCCATACATAATCACATCATCTGCGGATAAAGACTGTTTTACTCCTTTCCAACCTTTATGCCTGTTTTATTTTCTTACCAACTTGGGCTAGTTGGGCCCTTCAGTATGATGTTCGGTAGAAGTGCTAACAGTGGGCATCCTTTGATATATATTAAATTTAAAGAATCTGTTTATGCACAGAGGAACATATGGGCTTCCCTAGTTAAATCATTCACTTTTACTTTTCATAGGTATGGCTAATGTAAAAGCAGCCCCAAAGATCATTGACACGGGAGGAGGCTTCATTCTGGAAGAGGAAGAGGAAGAACAACACACAATTGGAAAAGTTGTCCATCAACCAGGTAAAGTGTATTTTCAGAAAATAGGTATCTGGATTGGTCATTTTGAGTAACTTGCATAATTTTTTGTAAATAGATGTTAATGCCATACTTGTCAGTGAGCAGGTCAGCTTTGTAAGAGGGATACAGTTTGGCAGTTTTGCTAATAGATTAAAAATTAAACAGATTTGGCAATGATTAGTTTAACTTGTGGTTTGTGTACTTAGGGTTGATGCTGTCTGTTATTTTAAAATAGGCAGGGATAGCCAATATATCGACTGATAGTATACTCCATTGTTTTGATAGGCTGAAATGAGGGGCTAGACCCCAAGAAATAAAATTTAAGACATTCTTTTATTTGTTTGGAGGAAAAATGGGGTGTATATATCTGTAGTGCTATCCTTGGGGAGGCTTAAAAAACCTATTTTAGTTTTAGCTGTGGCCACAGAAATGTTACATGTTCATCAAGGTAGGTAAGAGTCCCGTTCTATTCCACTGTTTTCAGAAGCCGAGACTTGAAGGATTAAAATATTTGTTCAGTTTGGGTGCCATATTTAAGGGGGATATTGACAGGTATATAGCGTCCAAAACAGAGTGGTCAAAATGGATGTCTTCAAATTGACATGTGAGGAACAGTTGTCAAAACTGGTTAGGTTTAAGTGAGAGGACACTTTTAACTGCCTGCAAGTGTAAGAAGTGCTTCTCTGTGGAAGAGAGATTATACTTACTGTGATTTGCTTTGGAGGGCAGAACTTGGAGCAGTGGGTGACAATTACAATACAGTGAGGGAGATTTCAGCGCAGTACCGTGCATGTATTTAGCACTTCGCACTTATAGAATGTTGGTGCATATTTTATGTGAGTCTCATGGTGACTCTGTGAAATGGAAAAACTTCCTAACCGTGGGAATTGCTGCTTCTAAATAGCAAAACAGGGAGGGGTTCAGAGATTGAAAGACCTGACCAGGATATATTAGAGAAGCCCTGTATGAGGAGGGAAGGCATTGAATTAAAGACCTTTAGAGTCCCTATGATTTTATGGATATGAAGACACATTGTAACTTTAGTCTGCAGATTTTGGATTCAACTGGGTCTATAAAGCCTATACTTTCATTTAACAGATCACACAACAATTTTTTTTTTTTTTTAAAGATTTTATTTGTCCGAGAAAGAGAGCGCGTGCACACAAGCAGGGGGAGTGGCAGGCAGAGGGAGAAGCAGGCTCGCCACTGAGCAGGGAGCCCGATGCGGGGCTCGATCCCAGGACCCTGGGATCATGACCTGACCCGAAGGCAGACGCTTAACGACTGAGCCACCAGGCGCCCCATCACATAACAAATCTTTATCGTAACCTGTTGTAGTGCCTTCCTGCTTAACGAAGGTATACCTGTGGCATTGGCTGTTACTCATGTATTGATGCTATGGCTGCTGCGTGCGAATAGGACTTGGGTCGTGAATCTGTGGAAGTTAGAAAAGGTGTGTGTGGGTTTGCAGACTGGCCTGGCACACAGAGGGCAAGAGACCGAAGGAGTCAGGCCCACTCCAGATTGGTAGGTGGCAGCTTTAATTAGCAAGGGGATGTAGGAGGCGTCCTGGGTGGCTGCAAGACGAGTAGGTCTCCGCACCCACCTGCCACATCTTCACAGTTTATATAGAGGCTTAACTGGGTCCGGTCACACATTCAGGTCAGATGCCTCTATGAGACCTTACTCTCTCAAGGGTTTGTCCTTGGAACAGCTCCCACTGTGGGGTTGGTGGGCAGAATGAGCATTCCAAGAACAGGGTAGGGGCTGAGGAGTTTCTGATTGCCCAGATCCGCCTCATAGGTCAGCTGGCCATCACGTCCTCTTGATCACCTCCTTCAACAGTGTCCCCTTTGGGAGACAGATTAGAAAAGGTCCTCATTCTCTGGGCTGACTTAGTCTGGGAGAGGGAGACTCTCCAGCAGATTCCTCCCCCTGAGTGCAAAGCCTGTCGGGCTCAGCCTAACAACCCATGAGATCATGACGTGAGCAGAAATCAAGAGTCAGACACTTAACCAGCTGAGCCACTCAGGCACCCCTCTATCTATCATGTTTTCTTTGTTAATTTTTTTTTTTTTTAATTCATTTGAGGCAGAGAGAAAGAGCAATGAGCAGGGAAGAGAGGGAGAGGGAGAAGCAGACTCCTCGCTGAGCAGGGAGCCCGATGTGGGGCTTGATCCCAGGACCCTGGATCATGACCTGAACTGAAGGCAGATGCTTAACCAACTGGGCCACTCAGGCGCCCCTTTGTTAATTTTTAAAGAGCTTCAGCATAGCTGAGAAAAATCAAAATTATTTGGGCCAGTAAATTATTTGGGTCATTTGCCTATAAAGCAAAGCCTATCAAATGCTTTTATAATCTAGAATAGAGGTTCATCAGAATCACTAGGAAGGTGATAAGGGAAAGGGGGGTGAAGGTGATTAAAAGATATGGACTTCTAGTTATAAAGTAAGTCATGAGGATGTGTTGTACAGCATGGCAACTAGTTAATATTACTGTGCTGCATATTTGAAAGCTGCTAGGAGAGTAGATCTTAAAAGTTCTCATAAGAAAGATTTTGTAAACTATGGTGACAGATGTTAACTAGACTTATTTGATAATTTCACAATATATGTAAATATTGAGTCACTATGTTAGACATCTGAAACTAATACAATGTCAGTTATACCTCAAAAAGATATGTGTGCACATGTGAGTACTTGTGTGTGTGCGTACGTATATGTACACACACGTGCATGTATTTCTTAGCTCTGTCCACAGAAAGGGCCTTGAAGTGAAGATAACCCAGTAGCAGTGAGCATACCTGCTGTCCAGATCTTGGACTCTGATACTGTTCCCCCACCGAAAGGAGCCAGGGCCCTTCAGAGAAATAGCTGATTCTAGGGTTGGGGCAGGATGGCCACCAGGTGAGTTTGGAACATTCTGTAATGCCAGAAATATGTAAGTGTTCAAAAGTGATAAAAGTGTGTTACACAGCTTGAAGGGGCTCCTGCTAGCCAAATCTGAGACCATTTGAGCACCAAAGTCAATAAGGACACTACTGAGTGATAATGCCATTGGAAAAAAGAGGAATCTGTGAGTCTGTATCCTAATAATTAGGTACATGAGTGAATGAATGGCGGGGAGGGAAGGCTCTTGCTTACACTAGACTGCCAATTTTCACGTGGTAAATAGAAAGGGAGTGAAGGAGTAGAAAAATCATCATGTACATTTAAAATTTTCCATCATAAAGACTTTCTAAAATTAGGAAAATGTTCTGCACATTTTATGGCTTTCGATTAATAATGCTGTTCAGTAGTCTCCTAATTGGTATGTCAGACCTCTGTTTTTCTCCATTCTAACACATTCTAGTAATCAAGTTTTTGAAGATCTTTGACTCTATTTTTAACTTTTCCTTTTGTCTGTAGCTGTGTCCCGCTAATATTTTATAAGGAAGAGTGATATTTTTGTTAGAGTTTGGAGATAGTGGAATTAAGGGGTGGTAGAATATGAACTGACCTTGTTGCGTTGGAAGTAGGTAAGGGAAGGCAGTGATAGGAATGTGTCGAACCAGCTGGACAAATGATGACTCCCTTCTTCTTTCCACTGGGGGTTGTGGCAGTTCTCGGAGCTGGGGCTTGGCAGTAGCAATCATCCTAAAGACGTACTAGTAAAACTTTCAGATTTGCTGAGAAATTCTATAGGATAAAGATCCTTAGCCAGGTATTTGAAGTCCTCAAAAAAATTGAGTTTTACTCTACCTAGAGTAGTTTCTGTGCTGGGAGTTGAGGATATATAGCTAAATATAATCTTCACCCTCAAGTTTACAATCTCATTGTTGAGGTATTTACTCTGTTGGTGGTGGTGGTGGGGAGGGTGGAGTGGAGGGGGAGAAAGTTTCCCATTTGAAAGTGAATTCTGTGTTGTCTCTTCTGCTGTTGACTTGCACTTTACTACTCTGTCCGTGTTATGTGTTAGTATCTATCTTCCCTGTCTGTAAGCAGCCCCCTCTGCTCCCTTCTACTCTGGGACTCACCTCCTTTGTACTCTCAACAGTATGGTGGTAGGCCGAATAGCGGTCCCCAAAGATGTCCAGATTCCAATCACCATGGAACCCATGATATATGACCGTACATAACAAAAGGGACTTTGCAGATATGATTAAGGTTAAAGACCTTGAGATGTGTGGGAGATTATTCTGTATTATCCAGGTGGGCCCAGTGTAATTAGAGGTACTTAAAAGCAAAAGGCAGGAGAGAGGCACAGGGAGATGTGATTATGGAAGAAGCCAGAGTGATGGGAGAAGCTGCTACTGCCGGTTTGGAAGTTGGAGGAAGTGAGTCCTGAATCAAGGCAGGACTGAAAATGGCAGGTAATAGATTGTGTCCTAAAACTTCCAGAAAGGAATGCAGCCCTGCCTGCACCTTGACTGTAGCCCACTGAGACCCATGTCAGACTTACAAACTGCAGATCTGTAAGATAATAAGTTTGTGTTATTTTAGCCCGAAGATTTGTGGTAATTTGTTACAGCAGCAGTACAGAGCTCATACAAGCACCTTACGCGTGGTTTTGGGTTCAAACGTACTTGATGAATGGATAGTTTTTTCCTTAAAATTTTTTTTTAAGATAGAAGATTACTTAATCATGGTTTTGTCTTTGATGAAAATGTATTTGTGTCCATTATAAAGTACATGCTGATAACCTTAAGATAGGGGAAAATACATTGTTCTAAGTCACAAAAAAGTAAACTTAAAGAATTAACCTTCCTTTCTTTAGGACCTGTTATGGAATTTGATTATGCAGTATGTGAAGAGTGTGGTAAAGAATTTATGGATTCTTACCTTATGAGCCACTTTGATCTGGCAACTTGTGATAACTGCAGGTACTTATTTCAGACGATGTTCTCAATTGCTAAAGTTTACTGTTTGCATGTAGGTTTAGTGCAAAACCATAATTAGATCCATGTGGATTTAATATTAGTAATTACAATTTTTGTTCTAGCTGTTTCCTAAAATTTCTGTGGTTTCCATTTTGTCAAAGAAATACAGGAAGCCTGTGCTTATCACAGTGATGAGGACAGCCCTGGTTCAGCTGTAGATCTGTCTTCCTTTCTCTGGGCCTGGTGGGTCTTTACCCTCTCTCATTAGCAAGTTCCTAACCCCTCTCTTCCCCCTGGTCCCTGAGGGTCCCCTGTGTCTTACCCCGGGGTATGCGGACACCTTGGTCAGAGGACTGGGGCCTTCAGTGAGAGGAGGGGACTGAAGGGGAGAGAAGAGAGGAGGAAAAGTCACATTCTTCTCTCGTCCTTTTTCTTCCTCTCCTGGCCTCTGGCCTCTTTCTGTCACCCCAGGATGATGCTTCTCACTCCTCCTGGTTCCTTCCCTACTGTTTACCCCAACATGTCCTGTGTTGGTGTCTTTCATGCCTTAAGACCCCATCGGGATTCTTACTGAGCCCTCTTCTCTGTTCCCTGGTCCTTCTTCTTGGACCTGCTACCCTAGATCAACTGCTCACCTGCCTGGAGGACCTGGCTTCTTCGAGTCCCTGCTGCAGGGGAGGGAGACATTCCCACTGACTTGTTGCTGGGTAGAATCCTGAGAAGAGGGAATGGGAGATATTGCTTGTCTCACGATCAGATCTGTGACTGGAAATGTTTGGCTCCCGGGGCACCTGGGTGGCTCAGTTGTTAAGCGTCTGCCTTCGTCTCAGGTCATGATCCCAGGGTCCTGGAATCGAGCCCCACATCGGGCTCCCTGCTCTGCGGGAAGCCTGCTTCTCCTTCTCCCTCTGCTGCTCCCCCTGCTTGTGCTCTCTCTGTCAAATAAATAAAAATCTTAAAAAAAAAAATGTTGAAAAAAAAAATGTGTGGCTGCCATTGGAATTACAAATTATAAACTCTGTTCCCATTGACACACAGTGGTTAAGAGCCACAGCATTATCACTCCTTAAAGTAAGGATGGATAGCTTTTGGGAACTAAATTATCACATATAATCCTATTTCCCTGAGAAGATGGAAGCAACTAATGTATCAGTTTAAAGAAAGTTGTGTAGTAGTCTGGAAAAAAGATACTTTTAAAGTAATTAGGAACACAGCCCTCCATTCTGTTTCCTTTCAATATCTTCGATTTTAATTTTAGTAGAGTACCTGTCCCCTCTTTTAGCTTAAACTTCTAAGTTATTTAGCTTTCATGAAGTTATTCCCAATCTTTTTTTTTTTTTTTTAAAGATTTTATTTATTTATCTGAGAGAGAGAGAATGAGAGAGCACATGAGAGGGGGGAGGGTCAGAGGGAGAAGCAGGCTCCCCGCTGAGCAGGGAGCCCGATGCGGGACTCGATCCCGGGACCCCAGGATCATGACCTGAGCCGAAGGCAGTCGCCTAACCAACTGAGCCACCCAGGCGCCCAAGTTATTCCCAATCTTAAGTCTCTCCTCCCCTCCCTGACCTATACCTCATTTCAGTAAAGGCCAACTTCACTGGCTGTTTCTCTCCTTATCCCGTGTTTAATTCCAAATCCAGTTGGATCTGTGTTCCTTCCAGATCCTTGCTTCGCCCCCTCGCCCCTCCCACCACTACCTCAGCCGAGGCCACCATCAGCCCCTGTCTGGAGCCCGGCACTGGTGGTCTTCTAACTGGCCCGTGCCCCCAACTTTGCACCATTGGCTTCTTCTACGGAGACATTTTAGTCAGAACTCTTCAACGGTTTTTAATCCATGTAGACTAGAACTGTCTCCACGCTGCTTAGAGGGCTCCCGCATGTCTCAGACTTGATCTCCCGCCCCTCCTGACTGTCTTCCCTTCCTTAAGCCTTCTGGTCCCCACTGGCTCACTTGCCGTGAGTCCAGTTGTGAAGCGCACTCCTGCCCTAGAGCCTTTGCACTTGCTGTTCTCTCTGCTTAGGATGTTCTTTCTCCAGCTGTTCAGAATGTTCTCTGACTTTTTAAGGGCCCTGCTCAAACGCCCCCTCATCAGTGGCCTTCTTTGATTACCCAGTCTATCAAACTTTCTGTTCTTTACCATGCTTTGTGTTTCTTTATAGCACTTTTATCCGTCATTATGTTTGCTTATTGTCTTCTCCTAACCAGAATGGGAGCTTCATGAAAACAAGGCTTTGTTTTCTTTGCTGTTTTTCTAGTACTTTGAGTCATACCTGGCGTGTAGATGGAGAACAAAATAAATGAGAACTTTGTGACTGACTATACCTCCATTTTTACCTTGACTTTGAATAAGCTCAGAGCCAATTGGAAACTCAAGTGTGTTGGCGTAGTTGGACCTTGTATACTTATATTCCTTATATTCCATCCATGAGATATTTTCTTACCCATTGAGTCTTCTCATTTATATTTGCTGTACTCTTAGTCATTTCAAATCCATTGTGGCAAAGAGGGACTTCAAGTAAGTAGAAAGAAATTCTTATTAAATGACCTGGATCTGCTGCTAATATAATATAGCTTCTCCAAATAAGTAAAAGATAAAGTATTTTTCTGTTTAGAATTTTTATGCTGCTAACTTGACCGTGAGAATTGAAGGAAAAGCTATTTTATTTTTTTAAAGATTTTTTTATTAATTTGAGGGAGAGCGAGCACGTAGAGTGAGTGAGAGAGAACCTGAGTAGGTGGGGAGGGGCAGAGGGAGCCAGAGAAGCAGGCTCCCCACTGAGCAGGGAGCCTGATGCAGGGCTCGATCCTAGGACCTCAAGGTCATGACCCGAACCAAAGGCAGACGCTTAACTGACTGAGCCACCCAGCACCCCAGGAAAAACTGTTTCAAAATAATGTTTTGGCAAGCATGCCCCTAGGTTGTTGGACTATTTGAAAACATAGTTTATTTAAAATAACTAACATAGTACTGGACTTAATTTATTTTCAGAGATGCTGATGATAAACACAAGCTCATAACTAAAACAGAAGCCAAACAAGAATACCTTCTGAAAGACTGTGATTTAGAAAAAAGAGAACCAGCTCTTAAATTTATTGTGAAGAAGAATCCTCATCATTCACAATGGGGTGATATGAAACTCTACTTAAAATTACAGGTGTCTGATACATTATACTTGGTCATTTTAAGTCCTCAGTTGGGTGAAGTTTTAACTGTAAACTAGGTATAATTAGTTTAGTTTTGCTTACAGAGCTAAAAAGATCCTTTTCCTTCTGTTGTTTTGTATATGAGTCATAGTCGTATGTAACGACATTTAATAACATCTGGGTTTACTTTTCAGTGTGGCACTTCGGGGCAGATATGTTACTGTCAGGTAATGTTACTAGGACAATTGGGGAACTAGGTTGGGATTAAGAGTTGGGCCCCATTTCCCTACCTGCCCACCCTCCAAATGAAAACCCTAGAAAGTTTCAGGAATTTCACAGATGCCTAAAATCTAACTCCACTTGGGAAATGCTCATCTGGAACAGTGTCAAGTGTCCATGTAACTCTGCTGTGTTTCAGAGTGGATCTTCTCAACTTCTCGTGCTGTAGTGGTGTGCGGAGATAGTTACCCACTTAGTGTGCGTGCCTTGAATCAGAGCCTCCTGTATCTATCCTAGAATAGTACATACGTTCTATTTTTGTGCCATTATATAAAGAAATGTTGAGAGGCATTGGTTTAGGGCAGGTTGACTGGAAAATACTAGAAAATCCTAGTAGCTTCAAATAAAATTAAGAAACTACATTGTAAAGCCAGTCACTTACTGAATTTTATTAAACCTAAGACACCATTAATTAGAAGATTCACCATTATTTTTATGTATCATTAAAATGAAAAAACGCCAACCCAATGCTTTCTTATCACTTGAAGCTTTTATTTTATACTTACTGAAATAGTGCCATTAGATTTATTAGGTTTTTTTTTTGCTATATATCATGCTTGTGCATACATACATAAGAAATGCAACTACAACAGATTTATTAAGGTATTCCTAAACTTCTTTGCATTCAGAGTCCAATTCTTCTGAACCACTTTTTGATTCAGCTGTTAAAGCATCGGTGAGCAGGTGGCTGGTGCTGCAGCATTTCAGGGGTGTTAAAGTGTGGAAAAGGTGATGTTTGAGAATTTAGGAAATGCCAGGATATCACTTGATCATGTCAGGAAGAAATTTGAGTTTGGCTACCTTGATTGGTATTTTGGTTCCCTTAACATATTGTGAGAGAGATCCTGAGCATAATTCTTAGTGTGTTTGTTAGTCTTCTAAATGTAAATAAATATTATAAAGGGTAAAGATATTATAATGCAAAGTTTTTAAACTAGAATAAAGACTTTAGGTCATTCAGGTACTACAGTTAAAAAAAAAAAAAATTGACATTGTAAAGATCAGAAGTTAGTAATAGACCAAGGAGGAAAAGAGCAGTAGTGACTGATTCTCTGTGGTGAGAGGTTTTTGGAGATGACCTCATATTCAGACGGACTGTTGCTAATTGGTCTGCAGATTATTTTGGCGAGTGTGACAAAACTTATCAGACCCACTGACTACTGGTACTTTGGTGGATTCGTGTGAAAACAATGTCGCAGAGAAACAATTACAGTCAGAGGACAGCTTTTGTACTTACAGTCTAACTAATCAAGCCTACATTTAGGCTGAGGTTCCATAGGCTTAGATAGAGGTGTTATTAGAGTTGTTTCTTTTTTTTTTTTTTTTTAAAGATTTTTATTTATTTGAGAGAGAGAGCGAGAATGAGAGAGAGAGAGCATGAGAGGGGGGAGGGTCAGAGGGAGAAGCAGGCTCCCTGCCGAGCAGGGAGCCCGATGCGGGACTCGATCCCGGGACTCCAGGATCATGACCTGAGCCAAAGGCAGTCGCTTAACTGACTGAGCCACCCAGGCGCCCTAGAGTTGTTTCTTAGCACTATTTAAAATCTCTTCAAAATTTCAAATACTTATAAAATTGCCCTTGAGTGAGATCATGTTTTGGTGTCCATGGATTTAATCATTATGACTTTATAATACTTAACAACTTAAATCTGGATTCTGTGTTGTAGATTGTGAAGAGGTCTCTTGAAGTTTGGGGTAGTCAGGAAGCATTAGAAGAAGCAAAGGAAGCTCGACAGGAAAACCGAGAAAAAATGAAACAGAAGAAGTTTGATAAGAAAGTAAAAGGTAAGTGAAGCGGTGCCTGGCTGGTTCCGTGGGTAGAGCGTAAGACTCTTGATCTCGGGGTTGTGAGTCCAAGCCCCACATTGGGTGTAGAGTACTTAAAAATAAAATCTTAAAAAAAAAAAAAAAGTGGCTCATGAAGGACTGTATTTTATTGACTTCCAAAAAGACTTTAGGTAAGTTGTTCTTGTTTAAAGATCTGTCACCAGTAGATTGGAATGTTTTTTCATAGATTGAAACAAGACTGAAAGTTTGCCCTCTGTAGGTTGGTGTTTGAGGCGCTCGGTGCAAACCTCAGAGTACGGCAGTTCTAAAAAGTGTGGAAATCCTCCTCTTAAAGTGAACTATGTGTTTATATAGGAACAATGGTAGATCAGGGATATATCCTCGGTCAAGGATTTGGCATCAGTTCAGTCTTAAATATGACTAACAGGGTTATAAAAAGGATATCCACCAGCAAACCTCTCTAATTGCTTAAAATGAAAAAATCATGCCTAAGTGTTAGTCCTCTAATTTAGTAGCTAGAAGGAGCCTTCTCATGTCAGCAAGTCGAATCATTTTCCTTCTATGTGAATAAAAGACCTAGAAAGGTAGAGTGACTTGTTACATCAGTAGTCATTAGCGAGGTGGGACCGGAAGCAGGCTTTCCTAACCGAAAGTCTGCATCGGTACATTCATTCCTCTGTCCATACATCTGTCTATCCATTCCTTTGTCCGTGTGTGTCTGTGTGTCCATCTGTGCGTAAGTCCATCAGCGCATCCAGCAGCGTCACCAGGCACCGTGCTAGCGTCCTGCTGGAGTCAGAGCTGGTCCGGCTCCTGTTGGAGTGTGGTCGGTACCGTGATGGTGAGCGTGGGCTGCTGTCGGAGCAGTGGGAGCACCCTGACTCGGTGGGACCACTGACTCCCTGGAGAGTCCTGCACGGCGGGCATAGATGTGCTTCCGGCAGCAGGTGTAGAGTCCTGGTGTGGTGTGTGGCGCATCCGGATAGCATGTGTTTTATGTGTTCACGGGGTTTGTATACATCCATTTAAAATGAGTGTCTTAGCCATAATAAATAAATTTGCTTTTGTGTTTAGCATTTAGAAGAGGTTTTGGAAGATAGCTCAGATGTGTTAAATAATACAGCAGGAACAAAAATTGAGTGTAAGCCTGCCTTGTTTCTTCTTGTGAGGATCTTTTTTCCCTCTTCTCAGTACAAGATTGATTTGTGTCAAGTGCAGAAAAGTTGGGAAACTGCAAAGAACTTGTAGTAGTCTCCTGCCCAGAGACCATCAATAGTGACATTTTAATGTCTGTTTTTCTAGTTCTTTTCTACACACAGACTCTTACAAATATTTCTTATAAAAATAGAAGCACTGTTGGACACTTACGAAGTTTATCAAAACCTCATGATAAAAAAAAAACCCTCATGATAAACATCCTTATATATGTCCTTATATAAATTATAGTGAATTAAGAGATCAGCTCCTGGATCGGGGGTTAAGCACACTTCTCTGGCTTGGTTAAATTTCCTGTGGCAAACTGCCGTGTAGAAGCATTTCACTGAAGAATCTTCCCCACATGAGCCGCTGCTGTACCAGGTCGCTGAAAACACCAGCAAGGACCAACTGAGAGGCTTTGGAAAGACTTCTTTCAATTTGGTCCTTTCCTTTAATCTTTTATTAGATTATGTTCCACCTCACATTTTACCCCAGCCCTTCCTTCTTCCAGCATCAAGGAGAGCCTGGAGGGGGAGAGTAACAGAAGCTTCTTACTGGGCCTGAGAGAGGAAGGTAGAGTTACAGACTCATTACAGACCAGCCTGGGCTTGTTGGTAACTCCAGCTGCCTGAATCGCCTCCATTCTTCCCTCTCTGCTGCCCCTCGAAGCCATTTTCTGATGGTATTTTGGTGTAGACTATAGTATATGGATAAAGGAATTAGAAGCTTAGACCTGCAAGTGATAAAATACTTTAAAAAGGGGGGGCTGTCTGTAATTTTTATTTAGATACTATCTCTGTAGTTTGGTCAAGAAATCATCTAAATGTGGCTAAGTTCCTATAATTTGACTAACAGTAAAAGATTATAGCATCTTTTATACTTTTTTTCTATAAAAATCAAATTATAAAAATTTGATCCTATAGATCAAATATTAGTATGCATAGAACAGTTCTTCTAAGATTTATATAATTTTTATGGGTATTGTTTTAAAGAAACATAAACTCAAATATAATTGGCTTTTTTTTCACTGTATTAAATTGCTGCTGTTAATCACCAGATAAACTATGGATTTCCTTCTTCGTTGAAGAGTTTGAATTTGCCCTGAATTTTTTCATGGACCCTTAAGATTGGTTTCTTTAATTCAGTTCCATTCTTGTTGGGATGAAGCATGTCTTTTTGAGGAAATTTTTCCGAGTGGTATGTTTTCCTAGTCTCTCCAAATCTGAGTGTTTTCCAGTTTCCCTTGCATATGAAAACCTGAGCACGCTCTTAGTTATGAAAGCATTACTCCATTGTCTTCTGGTGTTTTCCTGTGCAGAGGTCGGTGTGGTACCCTGTTTAATTATGGCTCCTTCTCGTTGGTTTACTTTAGAGGTCGGTGAACACGTTCCAGTTCTCCTGACTAGGCCACAAAGGGCTGAGAGTGGAGTAGACACTATAGAGATTAGAAACAAGGAGCTTACCGTGCAGTTTGCTCAGAACAGAGAGGAATAAAAGCAAGTCTAAAAGTTTAGTTGAAGAGAAATTGGAACCTGGTTCCTCTTGGTCTTCTGATTTTGATCCACAGAGAAGCTGACACAAAGCTTACTTCTTTATGGAAAGGTAAGAGATTACATTTACCTGCTTTGAGAATGTGATCTGCTTAGCAGTTTGAGAAAGAACTGGTTTTACTACAAAGAAATTTAAGTATAAATAGTATAAGGTATTTATAAATATAGGCAAAGTAAAAGACAAGAATTGTCAGCAAATTCAAATTGTTCTAGATCTCTTAGATGCAAGCACGCAGCAGTAGAAACGAGGGCATCACTGCTGCTCAGTTTAACTGGATTTCAACAAATGCACCACGTGCCGCCTCTGATACTGGATGAGAACTCTCATCTGGTGCAAATACACAGAATGTTTTGGGCTTGCATGCCTCTCCACAAATAAGGTGGAGATGAGGCTTTTCTTTCAAGTTATACTCTGTGTTCTCTTACTTAGTACCGACAGAGGTAAGCCTTCTAAAAAATGGAAAATTATTCTTCATTGTTTGTTACTATGTACTCTTCCCCTCAAAAGAGGTGGGTAAGAAAAGCCCACGTTGGGGCTCCTACTGAGTGTGCGGACATTTTACATTCTGGCCTGTGGTTCTATTTATGACTGTTTTCGGGCTTCTCTCAAGAGTTTGAAGGATACAATTCCATGTTCCTCTGCTTCAGTGTTTGGAGGACAAGATAAGATCAAAGCTTCATGTTGATATTTCCTTGTGACTTTTCCTCTAGTTAACAAGGAGCCCCCTATGCAACTTCCTGTCCTTCCATCAAGTATTTAGAAATATTTTGTCTCCCTCAGCTAGTTCTCCTGAGTTTACCTCCTAAACAGCATTGGGCTTCTTTGAATACAAGCTGTCTCTTACAAAAGTAGGATATCAGGCAAATAAAATACAAGTTTCAGAGTGGCATAAACTAAATTTTTCATTGAAACAAGGATTTAAGGGAAGACTTCTTTGGGTAAAAAGAGTATCTATCTGAAGATATCCATAGCAAGACTGGTTACCGTGAACATTTTTATAAATTTCCAGAGAGGCAGTCCACAGCTTTCTGTGCTGTGAGATTCTAGGTCCGTAGGACTAGGAGGCTGTAAGCCGGTAACCTGCTGCTTTGTTCTCCAGCTCAGCTAGGCTTTCGGCGCTGCTGGGCGCCGCCCCTCCTCCTGTCCCCAGGGCTGGCGGTGAGGTGCTGCCGCCCTTCAAGGCTCTGCCCTGTCTGCCTTCCTCTTCTCACTCAGCAGTAGGTGGTGACCTCTACTTGCCAAAGTTTTAAGTTGCTTAAATGAAGTAGTGTAAAAGATGTATTAATCTTTATTTAAAAAATTTTTATTTCACCAGATGTTGACATTTTGCCACATTTGTTCACACACACACACGCTTTGTTGACCCATTTAACAGCTGCTTGAGGACATTGTGATTCTTAATATTTCAGGATGTTATCTCCTGTAAACAGTGACATTCTGTGTAACTGGAAAAACAGTGTCATACTCAGTAAAGTTAATAATATAATGTTGTCTAGTATGTCTTAGACATTCAGTTGTTCTGATGTCCTTCACAGCTAAAAAGTTGTTGGATCCAAGGGCCAATCAAGGTTGATGCATATCTGTACTCTTTTAGGTCCTCAGCCGGTTTTGTTTTGTTTTTGGGACTATTGACGTTTTTGGAGACTGCCACCTGTTTTGCAGAATGTCCTCATTTAGGTTTATTAGCAGCTTATTTTCGCACAATTAGATAGTGGGCATTTTGGTAGGAGTCCTTCCCTGGTGATGTGTCCACGTGTGTCACGTTAGGAGACACATGCTGTCAGCTAAGAAAGGGATCCTCCGTTTGCTAGCGTGCTTGGGGCAGTGTCTGCTAGATTTGCCCATTGTCCAGGTGCGCTTTCCCCTTTGTAATTAGGAGGAAATCTGTGGGCTGGACTCGGGTACTGTGTGAGCATCTCCTTCCTTAAGTCTCACTCCTGGGTTTTAGCACATGGCATGATTCTTGCCCCAATCTGTTGTTACTAGGCTGGATATAAGTGGTGATTTTCTATTTCTGTTATTTCTATAATTATTTGGCTTCCTTTGGGAAGAATTTTTTTTAGTATTAGTTGGATTCATGGATTCTTCTCAAATCAGTGTTATAGTCCATTCCTCTTACTCATTTTGAGGCTCAAGTGGTCTCTAATTTGGCCCCTTCAAGCAAACTCCTGACTTTGAAAGTTTTTATTTGGAAATCAGAAAGTTCCAGAAGATTGCAAAGATTAGTATAAAGGAGACAGGGGTTGTATCCTTTCTCCAGAGTGATCTGTTAGCCATTTGTATTCTGCACGCGACACTTGCTCGAGCCGTTGGAGGTTGCACACGTCACTGTCCCCAGCGCTGCAGCGCATGCTTCCCGGGAACAGCAGTCTCCTTGTGCAGGACCAGAGTGTAGTCGTGAGATTTTTATCTCCTCTGTCACCCAGAGTCTAGTTCTGTTAGTTTGCCCAGTAATGTCCTGTGTGGTTTTTCATTATAGCTCAGGATCCAGTCTAGGATCAGGCATTAGCTCGAAGTACCAAGTTCTTCTAAATTTCTTTATTCTGGAATATTTCCAGAGCTTCTCTCTCTTTTGACATTGACATTTTTGAAGAAGTCTGTTCCCTTCCCCATCTTGCTTTTTTTAGAAATGTTTTTCATTTGGGGCTTTTCAGAGGCTTCCCAATGGTTAGATTCATGTTACACATTTCAGGCTGGAGATGGTACATAAATGACCTATTTCTTAGGGCATCGTATCTGGAGATCTACGTCTGTCTGCCTTCAGTGATGATGTTAAAACTTTTTATTTCATAGGCAAAAAAAAAAAAAGTTACAGCCAACCAAATATCCTGTTTCTCCTAAACAAACACTTCCCCTGAGATTTAGCACTCAGTCACAGATGGTTCTTGCCTGAACCAGTCTTTAGTATACTTTTTGAAAAAATGTTTTTCAGTGCTCTCTCCATGTTTAGCCAGTTAGAAGTCTGCATTCTGCAGCATCCTTTCTGCCATTTATTATTGGTATGGATTCATGAATTCCTGTTCTCCATGGCTTTTGTTCATTTCTGTCCTTATTTTGGTGTTCAAATTGTCTGAGATTTGGGCTAAGAGGAATCTTTAAGCTAGCTCCTCTGTCCTTTTGCCATGTCTTCATTGTTGAGGACTTCTGCTTTTTAGCACAATAACATGTATATATCTGTATTTTTATGTCTGCCCCATATGTTATAAATTAATACCTTGAGTTCACACTCATACCCAATTCTAATCCAGGATTTTAGGGTTCATTCTTGTTTTCTTTCCTTGTTTGTAACTCCCTTCTCTGACAGTGAGAAATCTGATTCGCATTATCCTTAATGTAGTTATTTGATGCCTCTGTATGTAATTTCCCATCACTGTTGCTAGCAGCCTACACCACAGGGAGATCCTCCTTACTTTTCTGGGGCTCCCTCTACCCTACCACAGATGCCTGCTTTACTTGCTCCACTTATGGCTTTAGGACTAGATTGTTCAGGAAGGAAAAGAAGGCAAGAAAATGATAAAACATACCAGTATTTTAGTACTTCCTTATTTTCTAGCACAAGTTTTTCCAGGAGTGTCTAGTAAATACTAAAAGATATGGCTTTATTATTCTTGATAAACTAGCTGAAGGTTGGGAAGAAAAAGCCATAAAGTCAGTAAAAACCTTATATTCAATTATGGCTAGTAAACTAGATTTTGTTGTCAGTATTCTAGCGTTAAGTAAGTTTTCTTCTCTCTCTTCCTGAGTTCACGTAATGCTCAAGTTAGAGGTTAGCTTAGCAGTGACCGGGATGCAGTCAGATTTTGAGAGCATTTTCTCAGTGGAGTAGTAAAGGAAAAGTGGCTAGGGTACTTTATATCAGAACAAATTTGGAAGAGAGGTATTGGAACTCAAACAGGAGACCTCTTCTTGTCATTGACTGAAACCATGAGGCATCTGTGCCAGTCAGCACATGACTTCATTTTTTATTTAGAAAATACCCTAAGGTAAAATAAAGGGTAGGACATTATGTCTAGAAAAAATTGCTGCCTTCAGAATGTGACGAATATAGGAATAAAGATTATTGTTTGGACGGACACGATTTTCCCCCTAGTTTGGAAACTGTCTAGAGGTGCATGCATTAAGCCTGAATATAGTGGTCTGAGACCCAGTACTTCTCATACTGGAGGTGGGAAAAGGCAGCACAGCCTTTATGGTTAACAGGAACCTGAGCTAGACCACGCTGTTGGCATCAACTAACGGTTTTATCTTAGGCACAATGTATGTAACTTCTTTGGGTTTTCTCATCTGGTAAAAGTGGGATGGTAGGGGCACCTGGGTGGCTCAGTCGTGAAGCGTCTGCATTCGGCTCAGGAGCCCCACATCGGGCTCCCTGCTCCGCGGGAAGCCTGCTTCTCCCTCTCCTTCTCCCCCTGCTTATGTTCCTGCTCTCGCTATCTTTCTGTCAAATAAATAAAATCTTAAAAAAAAAAAAAGTGGGATGGTAGTTGTACTTAATCTCAAAGGGTTGTGAGGATTAAATGTGTTTATAAAGTGCTTAGAACAGTGCCTGATACATAGCGCTACATCTGCTTATCCCTAAGATACAATAAAGGCTGAAATACAAAGATTCAAGTATTTTGATACTACTTACAAATCTAAAGAGGATTAAAGAAAATGTGTGATCACTTGGTGTACAGTGATTTTTATAGGTGAGATTATGTAACGTACTCTTCCTTAGGTAGCGTGCTCTCAGAGCTGGGCTTGATGGATCACTGGTCAGAATAAAAAAATTAGTGTTGCTTTTTATTCATTAAACTGGAAACGGAGAAATTATTAGCTTGTTAATTTCCAGTTAACACTAAGCATTTGGTTTCTTCAGGTACTGCAGTGTGAACTTTGAAAATGTGATTGGCTTAGTTGCTTTTCAAAGCATCCAAGAGTTTTTTTTTTTTTAAATAACATTTTAACATGATACAGTGGAAAAAGTTCTAAACTCTGGAATAACTGACCTGCAGTCACATGCTATTTTTGTTCCATTTTCCTACCTGCAAAATAAAGTAGTAAAATAAAAACTGTGGTTCTTTCCAGCTCTTAATTGCCTTTGATTCTTATATTTAGATTGTACTTTGCAATAATTGGCAATCCCTCTCCTAAAATATTGCTCTCATTTTATAAGATAAGGAACTGAACAGACTTCAAGCAGTTTCTCTAAGATGAAACCCCAGCATAGTAGCAGACTTCTTGGCTTTCTAGTTCTCTTGCAAGCAAAGCTTGGCCTGCCTCTTACAGAAGTGGCCCCTAACGCGCAGAACTTTGAAATGCATCTTGTCCTGAGTTATCCTGGCGGACTCCCCTCTCCTGCTGCAGCACCATTTTTCTTAGCTGCTTGAACAAATCCCATTTTTTAAAACCCCCTTTACTCATCTTCTGAATTTTTTTGTTTTACTGTCCCTCTTAACCCACTTAACCCATTTCTGTATATCCCATTTCACGCGGCTCCAACAGTGAGTAATTTTACAGGCCAAGCTGGCCAAGGTTCTAGAATCAACTTTGATTTGTTATAAAATTAATGTAAACCATATTTGGTTTACACACACACAAGCTTGATGGATTTTGGGATTCAGCTGAATAGCATCACTGAAAGACTGGCTTTTCCTTATTTTCTTAGAATTACGGCGAGCAGTAAGAAGCAGCGTGTGGAGAAGGGAAACAGTTGCTCATCAACATGAGTATGGACCAGAAGAAAACCTAGAGGATGACATGTATCGGAAGACTTGTACTGTGTGTGGCCATGAGCTGACATATGAGAAGATGTGACTAGTTAAGTGTAAAGTATTCACAGATGAATGAACACTCGTGTAAATAATGCTAAATAGAAATGTGTATGTTACGGTTTAAGAGCAAGTTCCAGTTAGAGTCCAGCAGGTCTGGTTGTGGGCAAAATACTGGGTCTGGGATTGCTTTTCTCTACAACAGGGATGGGAGCGAGGGGTGGAATAGGTTCAAAAGTTAGATTAGAGCTAAAACTGAGAAATAAACCAAACCAAACCCTAGACTGGAATAGGAGGAAGAGCTTTTAGTAAGGGCAGAAGCAACTGAAACAGATTCTTCTCCCACGAAACAAGGGACAGTGGTAGACCCTGCGCCCCGGAGGCTAGCCAGGTCTTCTAGATGCTGTCTCCATGTGAGGGAGTAGGGAGCTGTTGTTGGCCAAGGCCTGACTGGACAGCAGTAATTGAATCGTGGCAGTCTGATCATGTTTTCTGTATCCTTACAGTTTACTACCATAGGCCCTAAGGTCCGTGTCTAGATAGCCCTTTTCAAATATGGATTAAAATGGAAAAACAGCCATATTGTCTTACTGATCAAAAAAGGTACTAAGTTTATCCTAACTTGTTAACATTTTATAGAGCACTTACCGTGGACCAGGTAGGTGTGATGCGAAATGGCTTACAGGTATTCTCATTTAATCCTGGGAGGGAGATCTTGTGTTTACTTAGCACTTTCAAAGGAAGTGATAACCTACAGCCCGACATCACCCCAGGCATGTGGATCAAGTTTAGCTAGTCAGTTTTGCCCGTCTTGCCAAAAAGATCACAAGGATTTGTGCTTGACTACAGGGTCTGTGCATGACTTTTTTTTTTAAACCTGTTCAAGTAAAGATAAACTGGATATTTTCAAGTTGTTCTTTGACATGGCTTTTTTAGTCCAGTTGCTGTAAGTAGGAAGTTTATGTTTTCATCTTCCTTTGTAGATCAGCTCTCCTGGAGATTATGCTTGAAGAAAGGCAGGTCCAAACTAGTCCAACTCAAATAGACTTGAGACTGTAATTACAAATTGTTCTCTAAGAATTCAACATAGAAATAAGTGTTGATTTTTTTTTAACGTGCCATGCTAATTATTGATTTAGTAAAAATTTATCCAGAATGGGTAGCAAGACCTTCCTGGGACCACAGAAGAGCTTCCAGCTTGATGTCAACAGAATAACGAGGGGTCTAGGCAGCTGACAACGGTATTAACTGTGTGGGCCATAAAGAGCCGTTGCGCCCCATGGACCTAGGTTCAAATTCCACTTTCTAGCTGTGGGCCTTGGGCGGGTTACTCCATGGGCCTCTTTTTATCTGCTGGGTGGGCACAATCATCTCTCAGAGGATGGTTGGGAAGATTAAATAGGGTGAATCTGTGGCATGTGGCACAGACTAGCCACTTGTTCATGAGCACGTATTCTCATCAGGACAGTATAGTTCTAGATTTGTCTAGTTTCACGTACGCTTCTATTCACTCTTTCATCACTTGAGGATGATCCCAGTATCCAGAGAACACTGACGGCCCAATGTATTCTACGCAGGTTGGCAAGTTCTTTCCTCATTTTCAGGTATAACTACAGATTAGTAAATTATACAACAAACTACTACTTTCCAGGAAGAGCAAGCAAACTTATTTTCATATGAACCACTGCTTGAATTATTCCTGGGAGATTAATTCTGTGAATAATTATTTCTTGTTTTAAATGGCATGGTATTTAAAAATTCTAGGAACTCCTATCTCTTGAGTAGACTATATTCTGTAGCCCCTGAATGCGGGGTAAACAAAAGAGACTGGGTAACAATATGAAAAATACTAATGCATCCTAAATTTATGATGTTAATAAGTTAAAAATATCTATGCTGTACAAAGGCACAGGAATACTACTTACCAGTTGTGGGGTTGTTGATAAATTTTTCCCAAGGTTTAGTGAAGCCTTAAAATGCTTGCAACGTGCAATGTCAGATAATCCCTTATGCTTATTTTATGTGCACGCTGCTTTAATACTGTATAGGAAACAGGCTCAAGAATTAGTAATTACTTGGACCAAGTTCTGTAGAAACAAAACCCAAACCTATATATAAATCCAAGTACAGTTTTAGCCAATCTAGCTACTTCTGTTTCCACTTTAGCACGTACCTCACTAGTGGACCTCGGACACATCTGTCTCCGAGACTAGAGGAGGTGACCAGATGGCTCTCAGGTCACAGTTCCCATAGCTGCCACACAATGGACAGCACTGGGGGAGACTTCAGAACGCTGGCTGGCTCTGTTTCACCCCCAGAGATTGTGGTTTAATTTATAACTGTAAAGAATTTGGGTAGTGCTACTCTGAATAACATTTCTTAATAAGTAAGGTCTTAAAATATTAAGATACTTGTGGAGAGAGAATTCCAAATGAGGGAAGTAGATGTTCAATAGGAAACCACTGATTTTCAAGTAGACTGAGATCATAAATCATGAAATACCAAAGTTTAAAAAACATTTTTAGTTTTATTTCAGCCATATTAGGTTATCCATGAGCTGTGAGAAGCTATGCTACTTGATAAGTAAATCCACCAGTTCTATATACTACTTTGTAAGCTGGACCTCTAGTGTTCACATACCTCAAATCACTTATCTTTTGTGCCTTAAGGAAGAAAAAATACCAGAAAAGTTGTATCTGTCACATATATAGTACATCCTATGGTCATCGTCACATTGTCAGTTGGGAATTTTTGCTTTGTACGGGCAATTAAAGGTAATCAATGCTTTATTCTTCACTGTCCTCCTCCCCCTCCCCCTTTAATAAGTGAAAGGATGCTACAAGAAAGCAAGCATTCAAACCATCAAAAAAATAAGACAAATTATTTTGAGATATTTTTAAAAAATCTTGACGGGGGAATAAAAGGACCCTCAGGCCTGTAGGGCACAGAACTGCTGGAACACAGCCAGGATATGAGGGTCTAACTCAGCAGTGAAGAGCAGGTTCTCCAGGGTCACCATGTACTGCTGGATTATTTGGTGATGCTGTGGACACAGAAAAGGGGATGTTTAGGTCAGGAAAAAGACCACTTGAGCAATCTTGCAGAACACTTCCCTCAGCAGCCTGCCCACGTTGTGGAATGATGGGAAAGGGTAGGAGAAAAAAAGTGGTTATGCTCGAGAGGAAGAATGGGCTCCTGAAAAGCCCTAACGTTAAGAAAATGTAGTTGGAAATAAAAAAAAGCAGGTAGGATGTTCATGGCCAGAACGAGATTTGAATGTAAACGTAATTCATGCTTCAGAGCAGTGGCGGCCACGGGCGGGGCAGCTGGGTCCCTACGGACAAGGACAGAGGTAGCCCAGACAGGGACTGGCCCAAGATTAAAAACCACCCGGGAAAGCGGATGAAAACTATGGTTGCTGAAACATGAGAAAAGATACTTCGCACTAATTTCCTTTTTTTGTTTACTGGTTAGAGCATTTAAAATTTTTTTCTTTTACAAAAAGATAACAGATGACTGGCTAATTCTCTAGTAACTACTCTACAAAATAAGAAACCCAAACTTCATTTTGTCTGTTAAAAATAAATAGCTCATCTGTCTCACTGAAAATCCGACTTGTTCAGGCTATGTGGAGGGGAAAAGTGCCAGAAAATGCAAATCTCTTCTGTGTGTGCCTATATGACTTGCACATACTGAGACCCCTGTAGGCCTAGCGAACAGCAGTTAGGAATCTGGATGGTAGAGGAGTCATTTAAGCCTAAATACTCTGATGAGCCACAGTAGGAGCAAATGGACATTAAAAGGGCCTTAGAGGTATTACACAACCTCCTGACAAATTGGACTGTTCTTTAAAATGCAAAATCCTTGTGCCTGAGAATAGTGATGTTTATTATCAGTTTCCCACAAACCTGTAAGAAGATCTGCTGGAGCCTCTCTATACAGTTCTTATACCATGGGGTTAATACGCTGGTCCCATCAGTCTCACATCGTACTAAGTGCTCGGTCAAGATCATGATGAAACGCTGGAAAGGGGGTACAAAGTTAAAGCAGTGTTACAGGGAGAATTCTTACACTTCAGGAAAAAATCACATTTTCGACCAAGAGACCTCAAAGGCATTCCTGTTCCACTTGGTCTTTGTGGTACGTATTACCAACCTTCCTAAGTTAGTAAATACTGTCCGTCTAGAAAGGCAGGCCGGTGCCAATGTCAGTACATCCTTTTTGCAATACGTGAGCACCTTTAATATCTAGATTACTGTGCTTGTCATTTTTCTCAGCATCTATTTTTAAGGACCTAATCAGAAATGCATGTATAAACTGATCATCTACTTCATCAGAAGGGAAAATAAATGACCAACAATTGGGAATAACTAAATGAGAGGTACTTAAAAGTATCCTCACGCATTCTGTTAGAGCCTGGAGCAATGGTCCTGTAAGAATGCTAAGTAAACACCACAGACATGGTTACCTTCAAGCAGTAAACTTTTACTTCCTTTGTAAATTTTTGTATTTTAAACTTTTATAAATGATTATGTATTATGATTAAAAATCACATTTTTCTAACTTTTTTTTTTTTTAACCTATCAGTGTCCCAAGCCAAGATACCTGGAATATGACAAGGAAGAGGTTCTTCTGTTCACTCTGAGCAGATTCCACTTTTTCTTGCAGTCTCTCTATTTGCTCCTCCAGAGCCCCATCTTTCCTGTCACTGCTTCTGTCATCATCGTCACTTCGCTGCAGGATGCACAGGAACAAAAGGAAAATGCCATTAGAATTCCAGCGTATTAAACCCCATCAAGTGAGGGGAAGGATGTTCTTGTGTCTGGTCAAATGCCACTTGCAGACTTGTATTCTAAGGTGCAAGTACTCCGCCACCCTCCATGCACACATACCCCCACCAGTCCTGTGGGCACTTGTCCAGGCCAGGGAAACGTTGCGGCACCCGTCTTGGGTAACAGCGCGTGGGGATGTCTGCATTCCCAGCAGAAGTGAGTTACATCTTTTACGAGACAGTCCGTTCAGGGAGGAAGTGTGTGTCACATTTTTCCTC